TTTGGGGGGGGGGGGGGGGGGGGGGGGGTTGGGAGGGGAAGGCAAGATAGCACGGGAGTTATGCCACGCAGGCAGAGTGAATTTTATCTGGTAATTATTTTATCCATCGAAAACGTGGGGGGGGGCATGGCCCCCGGCCACCCTGTTCCACTGTCCTTGTCATTTTTTTAAATTCCGACGACGTAGTTTATAAAAACTGGTCCATGGCTGCAAAAGATAGGGAGCCATGGAACAATGTACCTTCATAACCTTACTATGCCTAAACTTAAAACTCGAAAACTTATACAAATTATGTGAAGGTAGTGAGGCTAACTTTTCAAAGTTATAATTATACTGCCCAGCAAGTATATTTATACCTCCTTAGTCTGCGCTGTTTTGCATGTAATAGATACCAAATAATCTAATATGATTTCAGTTTTGTTGCGGAGACCAAAGCTATGATAGCATTTTTTTCGTAATCCTTACAACTGCTTATATCAGGTGAGATTTCTGTCATGTATTTTCTGTGCCCCCATTAATAATTTTTGGAATTGTTCGTTGGAAAAGCCAGAGCTGTTCTCGTCGCGCAAGGAGACATTTGTTGTCGCCAGAGAGAAATACTAGAAATACGAAGACGTAGAAGGGTGGAAGCTGTTTATACTTGGGACATAATGCTTCTCGGACAAAGAAAAAACTGAAGATCCACATGCTTATGACAGTGACTGTTATCATATTAAATGTTTCGCAGCGTACTCAACCTCTGCGAAGAGGTGGTCATAAACAATAGAACTCTTACAATAAGACAAAAACGTATGTGTGCGATGTTACTCTGAGTGCATATCCACACAGGGCGAGCTTGAAAAATATGCGCGGCCACGGTGGGATTCGAACCTACGACCTTTGGATACTAGCCCAATGCTCTTCCAACTGAGCTACGCGGTCAGGACGGTTCGAGTAAGTGATATTTCGGAACAGTATCTTGTTCCTTCAATACCAATGTGTTCTAGTAATATGAATTTTTCTGTGTTGGTGTTGTGTACTCAGGTGAATAATATGTTTGCGATGTTACTTTGAGTGCATATCCACACCGGGCGAGCTTGAAAAATATGCGCGGGAACGGTGGGATTCGAACCTACGACCGTATGTGGATTCACTGACTATTGCTGACTTTTTGTTAAAAAGAGAAATACTTCAATAAAGTTGATTAATTAAGGCAAATGAAGTTAAATAATATACGTTTATTACGAATGCAAAAATACAAGTGATTTTGTTTTCTTTTGTTGCCGTTGCCGGCTGCCAAACTCTCCATTAATATAAGCGACAAGACCGCGCAAAGCTAAACGCGTTGAAAGAACACATTTTAACTGTATACTATAAGCTAAAAATTACCTTTCCCTACGAATGAAGCGGATAAGAATTATAGCTATAATTTACAATTGCAAGATGTAAAGTTGTAAACGAAATGAGCTAACACGCTGCAGATAATATACAAGGAGCTAGAAAAACGTTTTACTTCGTACGATAGTCAGACATGCATGAACACGGTCAAACCCATTTCATTTTTTGTATATAATTGTAAGGTATATTTTCAGACATATCTCTGACGATCTCCCTCTGAAATATTATCGGTAATGACTGATTTCCCCCACGGTGACTAAATGCGATAATTTGCATAAATTATGCGCGGTGCCAGTTTCAGGAGTTTATTAACTCATACTTTAAAGATGTTAGCTAACTTGGCTCACAAAACAGGACAAAATAAATGTTAATCAAAACGAAATTTTCATCAGGTTTACCGTCCGACTTTGACTAATTAAACATTCATTTTATTATTTACTTAATAAATTATAAATACTACGTAATTAGCATTCATTAGGAGCAGGGGAAGTGGACGAGAGTTTTTCTAACGTATAGTTGACGGAACTATTTTTTAAATAAATTTAATATTAAACAAAAAAATTATAGTTTTCGTCGATAACACATCATAAAAATATTCCTCAAATCAATATAACTTACCCTACTGTCGGATCCACTGCTATATCGTAGTTAGAAGTTCTTTCTTTTGTCAGCGCTCTTTTCCCTTTTCTGTCTAAATTGACTACAAAAATGCGGTCGTCGTTTGAATCAACAGACCAGATTAAACGACGTCCCAACCAGTCAACTTTCATTTTGTAAACATCAGCAATTTGCAAAAAAATTTCAACGCTGGTACCATCAAGGTTAGCCCTGGATATGCTGCTGCCATTCCTGAAGTATATTTTCATTTCCACTGTGTCAATTGCCATCGCGTAATTCTCTTTAAGTCCACGTATAACGCCAGTTTTAGCATGAGTTAGCAAATCAATCGCGTGGATTCCAAAGTTTTCATTGATAAACAAATAAGGTTTTGGATAAGGACCTGAAGGAAAACAGAATATTTATAAATTGCATCAGTTATCAGATGGAGGATAAAATTTGCTTGATACATCGACGCACAAGTAACACGCAATGCAAGGAGAGCGAAAAATGGATACCTTTGGCATTTGTCGTGCAAATGCGACAAAAATCCGCACCGGTGCCCTAAAGATTGAAGCTACCGACACTTTCTGACAAGGTAGTCTCGGCACAACGCACTAAATGTCCAGTGCCCAAATTCCGAAAATATCCCAGAAGTAATGTACATTGAGCATGCGCATTTTCAACATGACTTCTTACTTGCGAGGAATAAAGGACAAAACTCGTTCCGCACGTTGTACGTAACCAATAATCTATTGGCGTTGTAATGCTATTGTATGCAATAGAGTATTGGGCTGTAATGGATCTACAATTAATCCAAACGTTAATCCAAATCCAAACCCTAATCCTAACCTCTAACCCCTCCCCCTGACCTCTAACCCCCCTAACGTCTAACCCCCACCCCTAACCACAGACCCCCACCCCATAACCTCTGACAACCCACGACCTAACCTCTAACCCCTACCCCCTAACCTCAAACCCCCACCCCCTAAACTTTGTGGCCGGGTGCCCACAACAGGTTCTAAAGCCATTTACTGTGCATGGTCCCGAAAGTGAGCGAATACATGCACTAACTACAAGATGACGGGGAGA